AGAAGGCGGCCGCTGCAGCGGCGGCGGTGGTGTACGGGGCGGTGCCGGTCCCGCTACTGGGCGCACATCCACTGCTGCTCGGCGGGGCGGGAACCAGCGCGGGGGGCGCTGGCGCGGGCGTCCCGGGAAAGACGTTCTGCTGCGGCATCTGCGGGCGCGCCTTCGGCCGCCGCGAGACCCTGAAACGCCACGAGCGCATCCACACCGGCGAGAAGCCCCACCAGTGCCCGGTGTGCGGAAAGCGCTTCCGCGAGTCCTTTCACCTGAGCAAGCACCACGTGGTGCACACCCGGGAGCGGCCCTACAAGTGCGAGCTCTGCGGCAAGGTCTTCGGCTACCCGCAAAGCCTCACCCGCCACCGCCAGGTGCATCGGCTCCAGCTGCCCTGCGCTCTGGCCGGGGCTACCGGCCTCCCCACCACCCAGGGTGCGGCCGGGGCCTGTGGGCCCGGGGCTTCCGGCGGTTCGGCCGGGCCTGCGGATGGTCTGAGTTACGCCTGCTCCGACTGCGGGGAGCACTTCCCAGATCTCTTCCACGTCATGAGCCACAAGGAAGCGCACATGTCGGAGAAGCCTTACGGCTGCGACGCATGCGGCAAGACCTTCGGCTTCATTGAGAACCTCATGTGGCACAAGCTGGTGCATCAGGCCGCCCCCGAGCGCCTTCTCGCTCCCACCCCGGGCGCCCCCCAAGCCACTGACGGCTCCGGCGGCACGGACGCAGCCAGCGTGCTGGACAACGGACTGGCGGGAGAGGTGGGCGCGGCCGTGGCGGCGCTGGCCGGGGTGTCGGGGGGCGAGGATGCAGGTGGGGCAACCGTGGCCGGAACCGGTGGCGGTGCCAGTTCGGGCCCTGAGCGGTTCAGCTGCGCCACGTGCGGCCAGAGCTTCAAGCATTTCCTGGGCCTGGTGACTCACAAATACGTGCACCTGGTGCGCCGGACCCTGGGCTGCGGCCTCTGCGGCCAGAGCTTCGCGGGCGCCTACGACCTGCTGCTGCACCGCCGAAGCCACCGGCAGAAGCGGGGCTTCCGCTGCCCGGTGTGTGGGAAGCGCTTTTGGGAGGCGGCCCTGCTGATGCGTCACCAGCGCTGTCATACTGAGCAGCGGCCCTACCGCTGCGGGGTGTGCGGCCGGGGCTTCCTGCGCTCCTGGTACCTGAGGCAGCACCGCGTGGTGCACACTGGCGAACGGGCGTTCAAGTGCGGCGTGTGCGCCAAGCGCTTCGCGCAGTCCTCCAGTCTGGCTGAGCACCGGCGGCTGCACGCGGTGGCCCGGCCCCAGCGCTGTGGCGCCTGCGGCAAGACCTTCCGCTACCGCTCCAACCTGCTGGAGCACCAGCGGCTGCACCTGGGCGAGCGCGCCTACCGCTGCGAGCACTGCGGCAAGGGTTTCTTCTACCTGAGCTCGGTGCTGCGCCACCAGCGTGCACACGAGCCCCCTCGGCCAGAGTTGCGCTGTCCTGCTTGCCTCAAGGCCTTCAAGGATCCTGGCTACTTCCGGAAGCATCTGGCGGCCCATCAGGGCGGCAGGCCCTTCCGCTGCTCCTCCTGCGGAGAGGGCTTCGCCAATACCTATGGTCTGAAGAAACACCGTCTGGTGCACAAGGCTGAGGGCCTTGGGGGTGCTGGAACCGGGACAAGCGCCTTGGCGGGGAAGGATCCCTGACCAGGGAGTTTCGGCGTGCCACTCCCATCGGGCGTCCCCTTCTGGACGCTCCCCCTCTGGGGCTGCTGGTCAGACTCAACACACTCTTCCTTCTTCAGAACTGCAGATAATCTATTCTCCTTCCGGGCCAGGGCCCTACGAACTGAAGATTGAAGCACTCCGATCCCGGACCACTCTGGCCCTCCCCTCATCCCATCAGACACTGAACTTGATCCTGTGTCCGACCCTCGTTTGTTACCCTCGTATGCCACCCAGTAGCACTATGGCGCCAATGAACTCTGGTGGAAATAGATCTGAACTGCTCCCCTCTCACTTCCTTTCGGATCTGGCCGGACAGTGGACTATGAGCAGAGTTGGGAAGGGCACAGGTGGGGGTCCGGGTGCTCTTGGGGTGGGGAGGGGGTGGGGGGTAGCAGACGCGGCTTGTACAGAGCAGAGAACAATAAACCGTATCAACAGGGCCGCTGGGGTCTGGCCTTGTGTCCCGAGGAATGGGGTGGGGTGGGTAGCGGTGAAGAGCAAGGCTGACACCTTTTCCCCGGGGGATTTTCATTCCTCAGCACACACTGCCTCACACCCTCTTTCCACCTGGGTTGACAGGATTTGCTGTGTCCCAAGCTGTGAACTGGGCCAGTGAAGCGGAGCAATCTGGAACAGGTAAGTCTGCATTCTCAGGAACTGACTCGTACCTCCGCATAGTCTTTTCTGCAGCTGAGCTCTCGGCCAGAATTTCCTGAGTCTCCTGTCCACCAAGTTCTCACCCGGGCTCTAGGGAAACATGATTTGGACTTGCCCTTTTCCTAAGGTAGGATGGAAAGGAACCCCTGTGGAATTTTTCCACAGCCTCTGCAGACTTATTTGAAACAGGATCTCATGTATCCTAGACTGGCCACAGAGGTGCTATGTAGCCAAGGATAATCTTGAACTTTTTAAAATTTTATTTTCTCATTTTCATACATAAAGTATTTTGTGGGGGGGCTGGAGAGATAGCTCAGCGGTTAAGAGCACTAGCTGCTCTTGCGGAGGACCCAGGTTTGGTTCCCAGCACTCGGGTGGCCCCTAACAACCTTCCCTAAGCCCAGTTCTGGGGGATCCCACGCCCTCTTCTCCATGGGCATTGCACGACTAGGTGCAGGCAATACACTCATACACATAAATATTTTTAAAGAAGTATTTTGATTGTACCCTCCTCCCATCATCCTTCCCTTCCACTCCTGCTTTTCCAGCAAGTCCTTTCATAGCTTAAAAACATGTGACCCATTGTATTTACTTAGGATTGTTTGCATGAGCATAAGGGGGTATTAACTTGAGCAAGGGCAGTGTACCAGTGGCTATAGCAAGTTGCCCCCCCATCAATCCCCTGTAGCTCCTCAGGGAGAGGAAGGGTCTTATGAGCCCCTCCTCATGACCATGAACTTCCTCCTGCCTCCCAAGTGCTGGGACTACAGGCATGTGCCTTTATGCCTGATTTATGCGGTGCTGGAGATTGAACCCAGGGCATCATGCATGCTAGACAACCACCCCACCAACTGAGCTACATCCCCAACATTATACATGGAGTGTATATGCACATGCTCCAATTTGCTTCCAGTCCCACGACTGTTGAATGTGAACACTGAGCCCAAATGTGTGTCGCTTTATTTCACCACACCTCAAATCTTGCTGCCTTATACACACTGCCACCCAACTGCTGTAAGAATTCATGTTTGTGATCCCCTCTCAAAGCAAAAGGAAGCCGCAGGTTAGTGAGCAGGATCCATATGTGAGAAAGCAAAGGTGGACCTGAGAGGCCACCATAGCATCCAGAAGTGAGAACACTTGGCTTGCTCTACAAGAGCACATGATGAAAAGAAACTGGACTCCAAAGACACTTGCCTGCTCGATATGGGAGATTGATAGATGAGGTGAAGAGGGAGAAGGTGACTTAAGGAACGTGCCTATGTACCTAGCTTCAGTTGAGGTGTTGATGAGATGGGAAGCAGGCTCCTTTCTTCGGAAGAAGTAGATGAGTTTTGTTAAGTGTTATTTAAGGGTCATCTCACGGGGATGGTGGATGAACAAGGACTAAACCAGTAGCACATGAACAAATTAGGGACTCTTCTTCCCAAGCAAGAATGCTATTCTCTGGCATCCCTTCATTGTGCCAAACTGTTTGCCTACAGCTGAAACACATATCTTCTCCAAAAAGCCAAAGCCTAGTTACCCCATTCCAAGCCTAAGAAGAGAGATGTAAAGTACAATGCAACTCACTGCTGGTGTCAAGATCAAGATCATGGCGTGGCCCTGCTCTCTGACCTCGCTGATGCGGAGGACTGGAATACAAAACTGACAGAGAAGCCCTTTAGAAACTTTTAATAGGAATAGACTGGAGGTTTCCCTCCCCTCCATCTCCCAAGTCCTACCCTCACCACAGTGACTCCTCTTATCCACACCCTGTGCCAGCCCACTGTGTTGGCATTAGCCAAGTGCTCCTCAGAACTGCCTGGAACTAGACAGGAAGTTGTCCACTTTAGAGTGTGGGAAAACAGGAACAGGCTGCATTGTAGACAAAGGAGACTACAGGCACTGGGCCTAAAGCTTTAGGAAGGGGATGTGTTGGTTTGCTGGGTTAAGGAAGGACCACCTTGGGGTGGGAGGAGCAGAGCTTAGAGTTAATAATCTCTGTTACCAGGCTCATATCCTAGAGATTTGAGGACTCCCAAGTATGGTTTGGGTACTGTCTGGCTTTGCGGTGAAGGCATCTCAGCCATTTCTTTATGGCCTGGTGGGCATCTTCCTGGGGATAGGCAGGCATCCTGGATACAGTGTGATCCAGTTGATGTAGGCAAAAGATTCCATCCTGGTCCACTTTAAGGAGCCCCCTGGGTAATCTAGGGCTGTACAGATGAAGGACTGGACCAGATGATGGGATATAGGGTCTTGCTGTGCATGGTCTGGACCTCACCATCCTTCTGCCTCAGCCTCCAGAGCACTGAGATTACAGGGGCACCATGCCCAGCAGTCTGTATTCTCACATTTAGCTTGGTACCACCAAACTGCAGGTGCCCCTTTCCTGAGCCTCACATATGTGTAGCTTGGAACTCTGGGAGTCCAGAACCCAGTTGCCTCCCTCTGCTCTCCAACTTCAATTCTTTATCTCTGCCTCTTTTTGCCCGCCCACCACTTCCTGACACTATGCTTCCTACTTCGAGTTAACTTCCAAGGCTCTGCTCTCCCAGCCTACTGGTTAAGCTTCACCTTCGCAGTCTCTTCATGCCCTTCTTCCAGAGTGTTCTCTGTCCCACACCCACTCCCTGACCCCTTGGCCACCGATGATGATCCCAGTTGGCCTCCAGAGTCGCCCACCCCAGGCCCCGGCCCATGGAAGTGGGTGCGCTGGTGCTTTCGGAAGTTGGAGGAGTTGTTGAACGTCCGATCGCAAAGGGTGCAGCGGAAGGGGCGCTCACCGGTGTGGATGCGGGCATGGCCGCTCAGCACCGAGGACTGTGTGAAACCCTTGCCACAGATGCCGCAGTGGTAAGGCCGCTCCCCTGTGTGCACGCGCTCGTGGTCTCGCATGTCTGAGGAGCGGCGGAAGGGCTTGGCACAAAACCTGCAGGCAAACGGCTTGCCCACCGCGGCCCCCGCAGCCAACACTTCTGACCTCTCCTGGGGCACCCCTGGGCTTGGCGCTGGGGCAGATGCTGTAAGCGGAAGCCTTCGAGAGGTGCCCGGCTGCTCCACCCCATGTCGGTGCTGGTGCCTGAGCAGAGGTGCCAAGGCCTTAAAGGCGCGTGGGCAGATCGGGCAGCGGTAAGGCCGCTCTCCAGTGTGTAAGCTGTAGTGCGCTCGCAGGCTGGCAGGACCTGGGCAGCTGTGGCCACACACATGACATCGGCTTGAGTCTCCACCTTGCCCAACCCCCTCCACGCCTGCCAGGTGGCCATGTTCGTGAAACAGCAGGTCCGAGACCAGGCGGAAGGCAGCTGGACACAGGGCACAGTGAAAAGATCCTGGCTCGGGGGGCTCAGGGACCAACGTGGTGTCGGTGACTTTCACTACCTGGATCTCAATGAGATCACTTGGGGGTATGGCAGAGTGGCCATCATCAGGCACCAGGACCTGGAGAGTGGAAGGAGAAAGAAGAGCCTGTGAATTATGCTTGGAGAGCTCATGCCTCCACTTATTCAAACATTGTGAGGGCTGGTGAGATTGCTCAGTGGGTAAGGACGCTTGCTGCCCCCCACATCTGACGACCTAAGGATCCACAGGGTGAAAAGTGCACTGACTCCTCTGACCTTCACATGGGTGTGTGCACAACACCCCCCCCCCAATAAAGGAAATGAAAAATGAAAACAAAAACATTTGGTCCTCCGAAGTCTACTGGGCCCTTGGTTTTTCTCCCTAGCCCCTCCTCCCCAGACAGGGTCTACACTATGTAGTCTTGGGTGGCCTGGAACTCACTCTATAGACCAGATTGGACCTTGAACTCAAGAGATACACCTGCCTCTGCCTCCCCAGTGCTGAGATTAAAGGCGTGCACCACTACACCTGGCCTGGGCCCTTGGTTTCTTGACCCTGTTATCCAAACCCCAGAATTCTGCTATATCCCTTTAGAATCTCCTCTTAAAGAGAATTTCTGTTCCAACCCTAACCCTAACCCTTAGAATACGCCTCCCTAGAGCAATCTGAATGGACTTTTGGAAATGTAAATCAGATCAGGCCACTTCACCACTCCAATCCCTCCAACTGCACTTAAAACCCTGTGTGGCCTCTAGATTATCCACTACAGTCCTGGCAGTGTAAATATAAGCCTGCACCCAGCTGACCTCTGCCATCTAAATTTAGCCCGTTCCACCTCCGGCTCTATCAGTTACTTTGTATTTCCTGTACAGAACTTATGAAAAACTCCGTTCATCGTTATAAGACTGCAAGTTGCAGGGGAACGCAATCTTGGTCCCTTCTTGAACACCTCTCAGTAAATGTTTGTTGAATGAAATCACTGTTCTCAGTTACTCTTCGAGAATTAAGAGGAGGTTCCAGAGTCACCCGGAACACCCATTTCTCTTCCAAGACCCTCCCTTGGGCACTCAGTCCGTGTAGAATCGCCTGCTACCCCAACACAGTGACCTCCCCTTTCAGGTCACCCTAACCTTCCACTGCAGTTCACTGGCCCTACCGGTAGCATGGAGGCTCCGCCCCTCCGGAGCCCACCCCTAATTATGCAAATCAAGACAACCCCGCCTCAACTAGGCCTCTCTCCTCACTCCCTATAGGCTCCTCCCTAAGCCCCGCCCCAGAAAGCCCCGCCCCCGACGCCAGTGCTCTAATACCACCCCCGCCCAACCTTCCTAGGCCCCGCCCTGACCCCGCCCCCTGCCCTGGAACGTGCCACTTCGCGAACCCCTCCGAAGCCCCTTCGTCGCCCGCACCACGTCCGGCGGTTCTGGGGATCGCGACTCCCGCGTCGGCGAGCTCGGAATCTGGGGCTCCGGGCGCGCGGCGGCCATCTTGTGCCTAAGCCGGGTCCCCGAGGCCAAATAACACTCCGCAAGGGGGCGGGGCTCGGACTGGCGCTACTGCGCAAGCGCACTGAAGGCGGCGGGCAGGGCGAGACGATGATGGGCGTGGCTGCAGCGTGTTTGGGCAGGGCGATACTGGAGAAGCCCAGCTCCAGGGAGAAAGTGGTTCATTCCAGTTACCTGAAAAGACTGGGCTTAAGGCTGCACTACCCTGCCATGGAATCCTGACGTCGCTTTTTATATTTTTTTATTTTGTCTCCCGGTATCCCCAGCTGGCCTGGAGCTCACTATGTAGACCAAGCTAGCCTCTATCTCACCGAGATCCTCCTGCCTCTGCCTCCCGAGTGCTGGGATTAAAGGCCTGCTCTACTCCGCCCGGCCCGAGTCCTTTCTTAACCAGCACCCAGCCACCCCCGGGCTTGCTCATCGGAACCTCACAGCGTCGAAGTTTAGTTTTGTTTCACAGAACGTGTTTCTGAGGTTTTCTTCAATGCCTGGTGCGTGAGAAGATAGCGGCGCAGTTCAAGGACGGGAGGCTTTTCAAAAGTCTGTGGTTTGCACCAAGGGCTCAGAGAGGAGGGTTTTCGGCAGCACCAAGGACAGAGCTCTACTTGGTGCTCAGTTTAGCCTTAAGGTCTGTCTGTGTGATTTTGGATAAGTCACGATGGTCCTGTGGTCTGTTCGTCCTCCTCTTCTTTCTTCTCCTCCTTTTTCCTCCTTCTCTTCCTCATCCTCTCTCTTCTTTCTCCTCCTCCTTCTCCTCCCCCTCCTCTTTTTCCTCCTTTCTCCTCCTCATCCTCCTCCTTCCTCCTCACCCCTCCTCTTTTTCCTCCTCTTTCCTTCTCTTCCTTCTCCCGAGGCGTTCTCAGGTACTGAGGGCTGGCCTCTCACTTACCTTGTAGCCTAGGCTGGCCTTGAACTGAACTTCCTGCCTCAGTCCTGCCCCCGTTCCACTGAGATTAGAGGCATGCAGCATCTTGCCCAACTCCATTCCTCTTTCTGCCACAGAGAACTGTGTGTTATGGAAATAGCCAGAGACACAGGAGGGCTTTGAAACACTTTTCTTGAGCAGAGCAGGAAAGCTCTAAACCTAATCATTAATCCTAAAATCTCTGTTCTTTTTGGGAACATGACAGGATGGCATTTCTCCTTGAAGTTAAGTGTGGCCAGGTGATTTTCTTTGGCTTTCCTTCATATAAGTGAAGGTGCCCTGTGTCCCTCTTGACACGTTACAGGTTGTGGAGATACCCACAACCTTCCATCACCCCTGTTCTTTGGTAGGGAATGGTTAGTGGAAGTGGAGTTTCCAACAGCCCGAGTTCCAGAGTGACCATCATGGCATAAGCAAGGTGCTGCATGCCTTAGATATATAATGTTTAAGATAAACATTGGTGGTGTGGAGCCACTGAGCTTTGAGGTTATTCCAGCAGTTAGACTTACCTTGGCCTAAAGCCTCAAGAAGCAGGTGGGCCACCGAGATGGTACAGGTGCCTGCCCTCAAGCCTGATGACTTGAGTTCCATCAGTGAGACCCACTGGGTGGAGGGAGAGAACTGACTCTTGCAAGTTTATCCTTTGACCTCTATACATGCACTTTAGCACATGTGCTGCCCCCAATGTGTGCACACAAAATAAAATTTAAAAACTGTAATTTAAATAATTTAATATGAAGACTATACTCTTATATGATGTTCACCAAAAATATTTAAGGTAAATTTTAAAAAAATATTAGGGGCTGAGTCTGGAGCCATGGCTCAGTGGTTAAGAACATTGGCTGTTCTTGCAAAAGACCTGGGTTCGAGTCCCAGCACCCACGTGGCAGTTAATAACTGTCCATAATTCCAGTTCCAGGGGACCTGTGGCCTTTTTGTCCTCCTCAGGCATTGTATGACATGGATGCACTTACCTACATACAAGCAATACATGCATATACATAAAATAAAAATAATAAATAAAATATATATATTTTAATGTTAGGGGCTGAAAAGATGGCTCAGTGGTTAAGAGCATGGTTGCTCTTTCAGAAGACCCAGGTTCAAATCCCAACACCCACATGGTGAATAACAATCATCCCTAACTCCAGTTCCAGGGGATTCAACACCCTCTTCTGTCCTTTGTGGGCACTGAATGACATGGGTGCACTTACATCCATGCAGGCAATACACTCATACACATAAAAAAATTAAAATGTTAAAGCCAGGTATGGTGGGACACACCTTTAATCCCAGCACTCAGAAGGGAAAGGCAGGTGGATCTTTGTGAGATTGAAGGCATCTGGTCTACATAGCCAGTTTCAGGCCAGTTTGGCCAACAGGGAGACCCAGTCACAAAAGAACACCACCCCCCCCTTTTTTTTTTGCTCATGCATTAAGAACACTTGCTGTTCTTCCAGAGGACCTGGGTTCTAGTCACAGCATCCACATGGCAGCTAATAACTGTATGTAACACCAGTTCCAAGGATCTGACACCCTCTTCTAGTCTCTGCTGGGCATTGCACACCGGTGGTGCACTTACATAGATGCAAAATGCTCATACACATAAAATAAAAACAAATAAGTGTTTTTTTTAAATTCAGGTGCACCACCACACCAGGCAGGAGACTCCATTTCAGAAGGAGCTTTTGACTTTATTCTGAAGGAGTATTATTTTATGTGTATGCATGTATTTCCTGAATTGTAAGTGCCTGAATTGTAGGTGCACCCATGTTGTGCAATGCCCAAGGAGGTCAGAAGAGGAACCCACAGAACTGAAGTTACAGACAGTTGTTAGCTGCCATATGGGTGCTGGGAATCGAACCTGGGTCCTTTGCAAGAACAGCCAGTGCTCTTAACCACTGAGCCATCTCGTCAACCCCTCAGATTTATAATTATTGTAGTTTTAACATTGTAACTTTGAAGAAACTCTGGATCAAGTTTATTTCATGTGTGAAGGTTTGCAGACGAGGGATTACTAATCTTAACTCTTTAATTTCTTTGATTTATTTTTATTTTATGTATATTATATGAGTGTTTTGCCTGGATGCATGTAAGTGAACTGTGTGTGTGCAATGCCCTCAGAGGTCAGAAGAGGGCACTGGACCCCCTGGAATTGGAGTTATGGACTGTTGTTAGCCACCATGTAGGAGCTGGGAACTAAATAAGTGCCCTTAATGCCTGAGCCATCTCTCCAGTCCCTAATATTACTCTTTGAATTGTGGACACTCATTACTCAGGGAAAGACATGGCCAATAAGGATTCTCCAAAGCTAAGCTTCATTAGCTGCATAGTAGATCCGCCTTTTTTTGAGACGGGGTTGATAAGTCAGGTTACTGGCCTTGAACTTTAAAATTTCATTTATTTTATTTAATGTGTATGAGCATATTGTCTGCATGTATATAAGTGTACCACAAGCCTTTGAAGGCAAGAAGAGGGCATTGGACCCCCTAGAAATGGAGTTATGGGTGGGCATGAACTGCCATGTGGGTGCTGGGAGCTGAACCTGGGTCCTCTGCAAGAGCTCTTAACTGCTGAGCTATCTCTCCAGCCCATGATTTTGAACTTAAAGAAGTATTTGGTGGCATTGAGACCCTGTCTAAAAATAAACAAATAGATGAATAGATAAGTAAATAAATAATTTATAGAGGCTCCAACTCCCTCTTCTGGCCTCCACAGGCACTTCACACAGGTAGTGCACTTACATGCAGGTAAAGCACTCATACACATTTTTTTTTCTTTAATCTTTAAAAACTTTAGGCCGGGCATGGTGGCCCATTTATGTGCACATATGTCTGTGTGAGTGTATGCTCCCGTGTGCTCAGGTGCCCATGGAGGCCAGAAGTGGGTTTCAGATCTCTTGTAGCTGGAGTTTCAGGCATTTGTGAGCTGCTCAAGGTAAGTGTTGGGACTGGAATTACTGCCATGGTGATAGAGCAACAAGTGTTCTTTACTGCTGAGCCATCCAGTCCCAGTGGCCTTGGCTGAATCCTTTTGTCTCAGCCTCCCAAGTGTTGGAATTACAGGAATGTACCAACATACTTGGCTTCAAAGATCTAAATTTCAGACCAGGTTCTATTCCTTCCCGGCTCAAAACTTTTCCATGGTAAACTCATGAGTCAGTCACTATGCTTAATTACTTTAAAAAAAAAACCCTTTTTTTTTGGACAGGGTCTCCCTAGTCTCAGCCCACCTGGAAGTCACTATATGGACTAGGTGGGCCTCAGTCTCAGAGATCAGTCTGCTGCTGCCTCCTGAGGGCTGGAATTAAAGGTGTGCACCACCATGCCTGGCTTAAAAAGTTATTTTTGAGCCCAGTGTAGTGGCAGTGCCTTTAATCCCAGCACTCGGGAGGCAGAGGCAGGTGACTCTCTGTGAGATCGAGGCCAGCCTGATCTATATAGCAAGTTCTATGGCCAGCCAGGGCTACAGGGAGACTTTGTCTCATAAAACAAAAACAAAAAACCCCATATTATTTAAAATTATGTGTATGTGTGTGAGTATGTGAGTGCAGATGCCTAGGAAGGCTAGAGGCTTCAGAGTCCCCTGGAACTAGAGCTACAGGCAGCTATGAGCTGCCAGATGGGGGTTCTGGGAACCAAACTTGTGTCCTCTGCAAGGGTAATAGGTACTCTTACCCACTGAGACATCTCTCCAGTGCATTCTTAACTACTTTTTTCTTTCTTTCTTTTTCTTCCTTTCTTTTCTTTCTTTTTCCTTCAATTGTTATTTTTATTGAATTTTTGGGCATTTCATACATCTTAATCATATTTAGACCCCCTCCCCTATGTCCACCCCCATAGCTCTCCCACTGAATTCCATGCATTCTGTCATATATGTTAAGGCCTATCAAGTCGAGTTTGTGTCCCCAGATGTCCCTTGATGTAAGTCCATTCACTGGAGCCTAGTTGACTTATACACTTATATCCTTTTTTCTTATTTTGCGATTTTTTTTTTTTTGGTCCTTTTGAGACAGGGTCTCTCTGTAGCCCCAGTTGGCCTGGAACTCACTATGTAGACCAGGCTGGCCTTGAACCCACAGAGATCCACCTGCCTCCCCAGT